TACCGAGCAGAGTTCGAGGACAGAGTCTGCGCTGAAAATCAGCTCTCCCGTAGAGCCAAGTTTGAAGGATGGAGAGTCTCCATTCTTTAAGAGTTCGATTTCAAGAGTCATAATGGTACGATTGCTCCCATGATGGCTGAAGCATGATTTTCCGCTTCCATGGGATCTCAACTCACTGTTGCAACTATTACGTGTTCTTCATGAACTCAAGACATGAAGACGTGCCGATGCATACTACTAGCAAGATCGATGCCAGTGGCAGCAACAATGGGGGAGACCGAGAAGCACAGAGGGTGCTTGCCTCTACTGTCTGAACCGACTCTTACTCAAATTTCTCATTTGAGTTTCAATCTTTATGCCCCGTTTGCGGAGCATTCTCCAACTGTTCATCATGTGCAGATCGCTTCCATCGTTATTGTTGAAAAATTGCTGTCATGTGGTGTAGTTTGGCAACCACATGCGGTACTTCGGACACAAGCCTCTGTGGTGTGGGTATGGCAACAAGTCAAAGAACAAGGCAGGTAGAATGATAATAGCTAATGATCGATGAGGGGAATCATCAACAAGAATTGTGTAAATTACCACCGATTGGTACTGTTGCGTCATGGTTTCTCCTTCCTCGGTATTTTCGGGTGGGCATTGAAGCGACAGTGACTGCCCATATTCATCTCATAAGCGAGGCCCTCGAGGCAGTCGTCATCAGCAACACCCCACGAACTGGCCTAGAGCTTATAGGATTCCCGCAGAGCAGTAGTGCGATTAGTGGTTCCGGATGTAGAGATCTCGTAATCGAAGTCGACGTTGTTGCGACCGCTCACCAGGTGCCAAATGCCATTCAGTGAGCCCAAAGAACGAAGCGCACTCAACGCTGAGGACGTGGGGACAAAAAATCTGAAAGAGCGACCCAGAGATCGCACCTCCTCCTCGTACTGGGCGCTCGAGCGTGCAGTTGCCAGTCTCGTCAGAAGGGTAGACAAGGCCTCCCGAGAAAATGGCACCGTCATTTCAACATCTAGACCGTGAAGGGCCGCGGCTCGAGCAGCAGTATCCGCTTTGAGGTTGCCCTCAGTCTGTTTCGAAGGTGTATAATGGACAGAGACTGGCTTGCCCAGCTTGCTCAAGCGATCGAAAACAAGTTGAGCAAGACGGCCGCCCATGAGGGACCCACTACTCCCAGTCAAAGTGTCAATGGCCCTCATGCAGTCCGAGAGAACGACGACTTTTTAGCATGAGGCTGCGACGACCCAATCGACGCCGCTAACCATATCCCGAGGATTTCGGCCTGCAGAGGGGTAGAATGGTTAGGGAGTTTGCGGGCGGATGTCACCCACTCGCCAGTGATGGTAGCAAAGGCAATGCCGCAGCCGGCCCACTGCCCGGGGAGCACAGATCCGTCAGCACAGATCTCCGCAGTGCCAGAGTCGGATAGACAGTCCGGGTTCGCCGTGTGATCCACAGTATAGGAGGTGCATCCCGCCGCTTCAACAAAGCGCTCGACAGGATAAGGGTGGACCGCCCCGCCAACAATGTCCTTTACTGGCTCAGCGTCGAGGAACTCTGGGAAAGTTAGGCGCTGCTTGGCACACTGAAATAAGCATAGCTCATCCCAGGCAATTCCCTCGTGACCAATACGGCATGCGAAGCTTGTGGGAGCTCGACTATTGAGTCGTCGCGCTCTCCTGTACAGTCTCGCCTGGAGTGACCTTAGCTGTCCAGCTATTCTTGGACGTTTAGCTACCAGGCCCCAGCACCCAACTCCATGAAGTAGGTGACCTCTGGCCACAGTGTCGAAGAATTCAAGAGCAACGTCGGCAATGAGACCCCAAGTGCTGCAGACATGTCTTTTGATAGAGTGGTAGGACGCCTCGATGGTCCCAATGAGGGAGGCAACATGCTGGCTCCACTCGAATTTTCTGTCTGATTGGATCCCCAGTCATTTGACGCAGCCCTCTGTGATTGTCGAATCGGCCACGCTGACGGTTACGCAAATGGCATCGACAGCAGTTTGATTCAAACTGGAGGAGCCCCACCTTCAAACTGTTTGAATGTGGGGCTCAAGTAGTCACCTAATAGTGCCAGATAGTCTGGACCGAGACCTTTGTCCAGTAACACTTGCAGAGAGGACCATGTACTACACTTGTCAAGAGCGCCTTCAATGTCTACGAAAAGAGCGCCGACACTGAAACCCTGCCTCCACGCTTCTATGATGGAACTTTCAAGCTGGCCAACAGCATTATCGCAGCTCTTTCCTGGTCTGTAGGCATGAAGGTTAGGTGGATAGGATAGCTCCGCGCTGACCCGACGAAACAAGAGCCTGTCAAAAACCCTTGCGAGCCCGGTGTTGACAGTGATCGGCCTCCAGGCCTTGGGGTCCCACGCCGGCCGGTCGCCCCTCTTCGGCAACGTGATTACGTAGCCCTTCCTCAGAATCGCGGGGATCCGACGATGACGAAAGAAGGAGGAGAAGAGGGAACAGAAGTGATTTTGGCGTCTAACGCCAACCTCCAAATGGGTAGGCTTAACCATTTAAGCGTGCTACCCGCCAACACAACACTCCAAGAAACTATTCTCTCTCAAGCAACATGGTAAAACAAAAATTTTCCTTCCGCCCGCTTGAATCTGCAGAAAGAAAATATTGTTCACATCGTAGTTGGAGCAGAATCACTACACAGGTGCAACGGTTGCACTGCAACCTGTAACCTCATTGATTTTATCCGATAATCTGCTACCAACATTAAATTCTTCATGCTCGGAAGCGCGAGTTTGTTACGCTTTCCGAAGTACGAAACTACCCAATCTGGTGCCACCTAATAGGTGGCACCTATACGAAGTGTGCAGGAGCCGGTGATGGAATCCTGTTACTAGGGGGAAGAGAAAAAGCACTAGATTCCTCTCTAGATCTCCCTCTGCGGACAGAACCGACAGAGGGGGATAACTTAGAACCAGAACGTAATTCCATAGACTCCTGAGGCTTAACGCAATGTACTAGAGCGTTGAGGGTATAACAGACCTATTGGTGTTAGGGTTAGTTACGAAAGAGATAGTTCCCGATACTATCTAGAAGATAGTCCTCACAGATCACTCAAAGATCTGTCAAAGATCTCTCAAAGATCACTCAAAACTTTTGAGTCAAAAGGCTCTCTAAAAGCTCAGAGAAGGCTTCACGAAGAAGCCGTGACGCCCAGCCGTTTCACCCGTTTCAACTAGTGAATTTCGGGCGAGCGAGATTCACAACTTGCGCCGCCGCGAAGCCGGCACAGAAGTTCAATGGGGCGAGCGCCATCTCCCCCATTGCGTTGTGCAGTCGTTGAACTTGGTCCCTTACAGAACCCTCACTTCCAAGGGAAGAATCTCGCTCGCACACTTTTCACTTTACCGCCGATTGGATGGTACCCCTCAGTGTACATTGTTACGTACTGGCTCTGGGGCTTGATGTCCACTTTACCCTCAGTATCCAACGTTGCCAGACCACACTCTAGCAAACAGTTGTCGACGATGTGGATATGATGGGCAAGATCGACGCGACTGCCAAGGGTGGGGAGGGTTGCTTTGCCGAACGCCGCTGTCGCCATGTTAACGCCAGGTATTCTGCTCGCTTGAGGGTGGTGGACATTTACTGAACCCAACAAGGCAGAACTTGAGCCAAGATGGCTACGGTACCAATCTCTACAATATGGATCGTGCTACAATGAATCTCTATGCCAATCTCTATGACGCAAACCGTCTGCGGCAGACGCACAAACAACGAAGGTAGCAGGCCTCGGCAGAACACTATAAACTTAAAGGACTAAAAAGTTGCCCTCAGCATTCCTCTAACAGTACACGGAAGAGGAATGTAAGCAGTATTGATCATCAATACTCGTCTGATAACTTATCAGTGATAAGTGTCGACTAATATAAAGTGACAGCTATAACAGATTCGTGAGGCCTTGAGAGATCATCATAACAATTACCTTGGAGAGTTAGCTTTCCGGAGACAGGTCAAATCGTTGACGGCAAGCCTCGAAGATCATATGACCGTTTTGCGGGTAGGCATTGTAGCGACAGTGAAGACCCATATGCAACTCACGAGCGAGGTCGTCGAGGCACTGCCTCGACTGGCAGTCGTTATCAGCAATACCCCACGAACTGGTCTGGAGCTTATAGGATTCCCGCAGAGCAGTACTTCGATTAGTGGTTCCGGATATAGAGATCATGTAGTAGAATTCGCAACCATAACATATGTAATGATAAAACGTATTTTCCATTTTAATATCGGCCACCAAACGCTCCTTAGTCAATTCCTTAACGGTCATGGTGCAGAAAAGCGAGTAGGCTTTATTATGGCCTTTGTACTTCTGGTAGGTCTCCATATAGGAACCTGCTTGAACCAGTGGTACACCATAGGCCAACAGTTGGATCAACACGATAGAAGATATGATCATTATAATTTGCTCAGATGTCTCCGATGACGAATGGAGGTGACTCAGGGAGTGGTGACGATTATGGGTAGAGGGGAGTTGCAAAAATCCTGACGAGACCAAAATCCATTTCTGTTGAGTATGCGGCAGATTGCCGTCGGCAGTGATAAAAATCAACAAATCTCGTCGATGGAAGAACTGAGATCGCTTTGAGGAATGCGAGCCACTCCGAGCGCGTTCCTCGTCGTCCAGCACAATCGCTGCGATAAGTCTTTGATGACAGAATGCACGAGAGGAGCTAGTCGACCTCATCAAGAAGCAGACGGCGCCTAGTGAAATACTATGTCGAGAGCACCTACATCAACGCGCTTT